GAGCTGCGGCGTATGTTGTACCCCAACAAGAAAATAAACTCCCGCCTCGCCAGGGCTACTGGCGGGGGTAAAGTTGAAAAAAGTCTCTCAAGCCTCCACCAGCACCCCTGCGGTTTACGACCCTTCACCCGCACCCCCTCTTCACGCTGCCGACAGGCTGTGTTCTTAAACAAGACACATGCTCAAAAATTCGCAGAACTTTGTTTTTGGCCCAGAAGCTGCAAGGTATGTACGACCCAGTTTGCTTACGCATCTTGCATACAATAACTACAACCAGTTAATAATATTTGTATTTCACATTTTAGCTCTGAGGATGATCGCTACGCGATCGAAACGATCATAAGCTGAATAAAAAGTATTGATATCAGACAATATCTTTATTTATTTATCATAATACGGGAAAGTCTGGCCATTCTGTAGGACCACTAGTTCCTTACTGCAATTTTATTGATATCTTCAAATTAGGTCGTGCAAAATTTTTCGAAAATATGGGTAACTTTTGGGAAATTTTATGCTAAACATAGAAAATTTTAAAAACATTTTCTAAAAAATGGTTCCAAATTGATTATTAAACTGTTTTCCTAAGATAAGAAAGGGACGCTTAAAACAATGTTGTCTCATTTATGTTGAACTCTCTGAAGTTTCGAAATTTGCAAATTTAGAAATAATGCGAGAAAGCTTGGGCTGTTGCAACACCTCCAGTTTAACCAAGTCTTGAAAGTTTACAAAATCTTAGTGGCTAATATAGTTTATGTAGTATAGTTTGTACAAATGTTCAGATAAAGCATGTAAATAACTTACTGTGAGTGCTCTGTCAAAATTCCTTTTAGTTGGTTGTTTATATTATCGCGGAAAATATGGAAAATCTGGTTTTGTTTGCAGGTGAAAATCTGAGAATGACAGGAAAATGTTAATATGTTTGTATTGCAATATACTACCAGTGGTACTGAAACAGTACATTCTTCCTCGCATTATTGCTAAATTTGCAATTTTTTAAAATTCAGAGTTCAATGAAAATGAGACCTGTGCCATTCTTTCAAGCATCCTTTTTTTATCTGTGGAAAATATTTGGAGCGGTTTTTGAGAAAATGTTTTTTTAAAATATAAATTATATAAATTTCTAGCTTAAATCACAGGAAAACAACTCACTTATTAAAACAATTCACATATTTTTTAAAGAGACAACTTTTTATAACAGACCTTGTTTAAGGGAAACATCTTTATCTTTAATTTTGAAATGTTAACTTTTTGAAAATATGAAAGCTCACCGAAAACGGGACCAGCACCATATTTTTACCACCCCTTGATACATATAAGAATTTTCAAGAAAAAATTCAGTTGTTTTTGAGAAAAAAAATGTTTTAAGAAAATAAAAAATTGCCTATATTTCACGCTAACTTACAAGAAAACTACTCTTGTATTAAAAAACAGAACGTGACCTCAAGATCTTTATGGAATAGATTTCTATAAGGAAAAAAATCACTATCTTCAATATTCAGTTGTAGGGAGTCCCCCCCCAACGACTTGTATTTTTGCTATTTTCGGAAAATTAGGTATTTCATAGAACATGAGACCTGTGCCATTCTCTTATGTGGCCTTTGCACTATCCGAGGACAACGTGTAATCGAAAAATTTGGAGCAAATTTTGAAAATGGTTTTGAGGCTTCATGTAAAGTTCCTTGAAAAATCAAAATGTGCTTGGAACTCCCAAAGCTTAGAGTTGGTTTAGATTAATCAGGGAATATCAGTTTTGGAGAAAATCGGATGAACGGTTTCGGAACTATGCTTGACCACAGATGTTTTGGTGTCAATCGATTTTTCTGTATCAAGGACCCACAAAACAGGGATTCTGGCTGTGCCACGAGTTAGAGGAAGTTATTTACTATATACATGGACATGATTTATCCACTTCTGCATTACCAGGTCCCTACAATACGTTTTTATGTCAAAAATTCGCCTTTTTCCGGAATACTATTACAATACTCTCTCTTCTTACATATGTAAGGGCGAGAAAGGAAAAATTGGAGGAGGAGGGATAAGGAACTAGTGGCCACTAACAACCTTAAATAACCGACAAACTTTTCTCTCTTCATAAAAGAAATCCACTTGTCATCTATGTTCTTAATTTTACTTTATCGATTTCTGGAAAGGAATTAAAACAGCTTCATCTCTCCCGTTCTCTTTTACTACAGCCCCAAACCACACACCTTACTGTACAATTATAACTTTATTTTAGAGAAAAATGAATCTACATACAACAAAAAAAAAATTAATAAATTTAAGTCCTTACAAGCAGAGGAAAACCTCAAAACACTAACAGAAAATCAACACAGTAAGAGTATTTTCAATCGTTAGTTCACGATTTCCACCAGACATTTGCCACCCAGAGGCAATAGTGCTGCCCCTCACAAGCCCTTTAAGTCATGTGCTCTGAACATCTTTACAGGTTGGTAGATACATACGCCATAGAATCTACAAAAACTATATAATCTGGTTTAAAAACTTTATTTACATTCTCAAAATGGAAAATTCATCAGGAAGTATTAATTTAAGTTTGAGAACATGAAATGTAACAAGCAAGAACAATACTGAACTGTATTTACATCTAAACATAATTACACTCAATACTAAAATACTAAAACGAGTACACATTTCAGTACACAATATAACATAGTCTAATCTCTCAGGTTACCACATGAAATGCAGGTACATATACACAAAAGTGTATTGCATGCTCATAATAAAAATTAATATATTTGAAAAATATAGCTATAAAAAAACATTTCAAAGAGAGCAATTCAAATTAACAGAACACTGTACTTTCACATGAGTATCCAACAGGCATTACACAAATAAAATAAAATGCAAGATGGCAATGTGTTTCAACAGGGAAGCACTAGCCGAAGTATTATATTAACAAGTAACTGTTAACCTTTAACGGATAAACCTTTTCTGACAGATCAAAAAATGTTCCTTAATAAAACAGAAAAGAGGTAGGTGCATGCACATACATGCTCTTGTACATGTGCACACAACATATAATAAGCAAAAGATTTTTGCCTCATATGCAAAATTAATTATGAGGAAAACCCGAGAGTCTAGGAAATATAACAAATTGTACCTAATAACAGAAATTGTAGTCAAAAAAGAAGTTAAAATATATCATTACCCCCTGATTAAATTAAGTATGTGATTGTCACTTGTGCTGCTCCATTGTAGCTTTTAAGTCTTCTTGAATACTATTTATTACTTGTTTCCATTGAAAAGCCATCTGACAAGTGTCAATCATTTACTAATTTTAATAAACCATATTTACTCAGGAAATGCTATTTTTTGTCATAGAGCACATCTGTATTAATGTACGCCATTTGCTTAGAAAACTGTTAAAATCTCTTTTTGTATCATACAATATTCCAGCTTGCAAAATAAAAAATGGTTATTTACAATTAGTATTCACATAAAAAGGCTTCTTTTGTTCTCAACAAAACACACATTTTCCTCAAATGAAAATTTCTAAGAACAAAGGTTCCCATGTACATTTGATCTCTCAAATAACTTATAAAAATGTGTTCTGAAATGTGAACTCTTATTCCATCCACTGTGTCCAGTATACTCTCATTTTCCTTCACAGATCTTTTTTCTATGATTTTATGCAATTGTCCTTGTCCTAGCTCAGCACTGCAAAATCATTATATGAGACATTTCTATCGAGCCTTTCTTTTTTTGTACTCTGATGATGCATGAAGTTAAATATTCAAACAAATAGATAAATCATTCCCCAAACTCTATGAACATCCTGAGTCACCTTTCCCTTGACCACAACCCTGATCGTAACAGTGAGGGAAGCATATCTAATAACCTAAAATCCAAGATATGGTTAAAAAAATTAAATAATTTAAATATGAACTAATTCACTAAAATTTGTAATTATACAGTAAAATTCCTATACAATTTAAAACTGTGTACTATTTTTTATATTAAAGGACCCTGAATGTTAAAAGATATTAAAACAAGTTTTGGTGGAATAATAAATAAAATTAATACAAAATAACAAAAACGTAATGTATACATTAGAAGGCACCTTTAATGAGGCCAGTCAAAAACATTTTAGTTTGCAGAATTTTCTCTTTTTTATCTCCTTATTCTCAATCATTCTTTGGCTTGAGCAAGTGCCACGCTGAATGCACATCATGCCAACACCTTGGCTCACAGGAAATGCTGGATAAAGAGTAGATAGCTCTTGCTCGACAGATACACCACTGCTTGCAGTCTCTGCCGAGGGAAGATGTCATCAGCTGGTTTTTAAAACAGCTTTGAGATCATCTGGGAGGGTGCAGATGATATCTGCCATTCTCAGTCTCAGTTGATTTCTTGTTGTATCACTGAGTGGTAAATCTTCGATTTCACTTTGTTCTAGCTTATTTCGAATTCTCAGAATCATATCCACAACTTCTACTTCTTGTTTGCCTTGCACCCAGTCCTTCAGATCCTACATAAAAATAACAAAATTGGTAAATAAATCTGAGACACAAATACATTTTTTAAATGTAGGCAGAAAATTCCTTGCATTATTCCTATGACAGAATAATTATTCACTTATTTACTTTCCATCAAAACTTAACGATTTTCTGTTTTTGGAAATAATGTCTCATTTTTACCAAACATTATTTGGTGTTTGAATTGATGGGGGAATCCTTGCTTCTACTCAAGAGATCACAATGCAAGTATGATGCTGTGGTGATAGAAAATTATGAAATTGTGAAGAGAGAGAATGTAACAAATGCTAATGAAATGAACACCAGAAGCAAACCTGTTTTATTCAATTCAAATTCCACTTGGGGTGATTAGGATTTTACTCAGATACCCTGGAAGGTGAGCAAACTCACTGCTAAACCTATTGCTTCAAACCCACTCATCCTAAAGCAAGTTACATAAATACAATATCAAAAACATCTTCAAGACACAGGCATGCCTAATGTGCGCTGAAGAATGTTATTTTTTATTTTCAATACAAATCACAAACTTGCATTTTAACAAACCAAAATTTAAAATTATGACACAGGTATTCGAAAAGATAAATTTCACACTCTGAAAATGACGTATTTTGTATATCTTACAAAATTTCATTTGTATTACTTGCACACAATATTGTCACCAAACTGTCTCTATGTACAAGAACATTTTCACTGCCAAACCAAGTACTTAATAAATGTGATTGTCTGAAGGAGGTTACTTTATTGCAGTATTGAGGCACATTTGTAATCTACACAAACTGAAATTGTAACTTCTAGCTTAGACATCTGAGATACCAGGAGGAATGCATAGGAAAAAATGCATGCATGCATGCATGCATGCATGCATGCAGGCATGCATACATACATACATACATACATACATACATAGAAGTTAGGGGACTTTACCATCTCTTTGATAATACTTACCCCTAGGTTTATATGTTCTTTCTATGAACAGTTATTTTCTACTTAAAACTCTAGTATGAATGCAATTTACCTTCCTTATTAACCCAAGTCACATCAAGTAATGACATTCAGAAATGCTTAGAAAAATATCTCAAACAATTTCTATAGGCACAGAAGCATGACTTGTAACTTATATCTATATTTAGATGCTTATCAAAGATATACTTTGTTGGAACACTGTTGTATTATTAGTGCTACGGAACTTTTGTTGTACCACTATTGCAATGTTTTTGTTAACTGTGATCTGTCCAAGTTTAGTAAATTTAGGGTACAAATTTCCTTCTTGCTATCAAAAGCTTTAAGAAAAATAATTGTCTATTTCATCATGTTTATTGAGAACAAAATTCTAAAATGTTTATGAAAATTACCTAATTCACCCAGGAACAGTAAAATCAATACTTTCCTCGAAAATGCACTCAACTAGTAGAAACATAATAGACTTACATAGCGTAGCCAATACGGGTAGTACCCAATATACAGAGGTATGGGTTTGAATTTTGCAAAAGGCTAGAGTATTTTCATCATGTTTGTGACATGATAGCCATTTCATAGATTCATGTGTGACATCACCATTTGGCAATCATTCACCATTCACCCAGCATTACAGAAATGCTGAAATGGACCTACAGCCTACCTCAGTTATAAAGGAAACTGACTTAAATGAGTCTATGGGCTTCCCTCAGTTCAGCACCAGGAGGAGCAAGTGTACTTGGTTGAGAGATACATCTCTAGGTGGCACATGCTCTGCATGGTGCCCTTACTATTTCCTCACAGTACCATCAGATAACCAGGAAGGGGAGCCGTGCAAAGGTCACTATTAAAAATCACGATGGTGGAATTTAGAGTGCAATGCATTGGGTGGAATCGAGGAAAAAATGCACTCGAAAATAATCTATACTATCCAGTACAAACATATTGTTATCAAATATCAATCTGTCTAGAGTGGATCAGTCACTTTTTAACCTTGTTTGTGTTACAACTACAGCAATAAACAAGAGACATTTATTTCAAAAGCACTTATCTAGTAGACGATCCCCACAATGTTATGAATCCAATGTCAACGCCTTTTTACAAAAATAAAGATGAAGGTGCCCGCATTCAATTGCACACAGGCCAATGTGGCCCAAGTGCGAGGTGAAGGTGGCTTAAGGAGGAGGTTGTGTGGGCAGCACAATACTCTGGCTGCCTTTGTCCCAAGGATCCTAGTATTCATTTGAAAGAGAGTTGATGAGTTGACCCCAGAGCAGCCCTAAATGGAAATCGCCAGTTAAAATCCTGACACACATTGGGATTTGAACCTGTATCCTCCAGGTCAGCAACATCGAGACATCACAGCTCCTTTTAAAAAAATAAATTACTCAAAATGTTCAATGCCCTTTGAAAATTGTAGTATGGTGATCGCACCAAATCTGTTTTTAGGTGCAAAAACTCAAATCTAAGGCACTGTAATAAATGAATCATATTTTTTTCAAAATAGGAAAAAGAGAAGGCACTCTTCCTCTTCGCCTTTTCATGAAGTTTCACAACTTAAATCATTTATTCGTTTTTAAAATTAATATTCCTCTTCTGAAAACCTCCTAGTCATTATTATTTTTATTATTATTATTATTATTATTATTATTATATTCGTTATTATTATTATTATTATTATATTCGTTATTATTATTATTATTATTATTATTATTATTATTATTATTATATTCATTATTACTGTACTTGTAATTTGTGACCTATCATTTGTGAAAAATTACTTGAAAAGCAAGAATACTGCTTCTTTAAATTTAAATAAAATTACTTTTCATTAAGATATAAGAATACATCAATAACATAATAAATAAAATAATCTTATCAAATTATTATTTTTAGTGCTCCATATTTTGCAGCTATTGTATTAAGAAGCTTATCCATAAATTGCTGACCTATGCTTTAAAGTATATCTACCTTCCTACCATTATATACAATGCATATTTTCTTCATGGAGGAGGGGGAAAAACTTAAGAAAATGACAAAACAACAAAACAATACATGAATCATCTATGCTTCTACAGTAGGGCTTCAAGATCAAAATTTGTTAAACAAGCTCTGATAATGTTAGTTGCATGGAAAAAGAAGAAAGAAAATATGAATAAAATAAGAACTAATAGAGAACTTCAATTCCAGACACAGAACACTATGTTACTATTTCTACTTTCAATCACTTTTGGAGTTCAAATTCCAATTTTATATTTCAGGAAATATCTAAGTTTAAGAAAATATGAAATGTTACACCTTAAGGACTGATACAATTGTCATATTCTACACTTTAACATACTATTACTACCTTTCAAATATTGGTTCTTCCTTGATAATGTTTAAGTATAATGCCAGAAGTATTGTTGATACATAGTTTCAAATATTCTTTAAGCATATGCCCTACTGGAATGCTTTTCTACTGAACCCAGTTCTTCATGGAACACTACAAAACATTATTTAAGACATCATCAATTCTGGCAATGAACATCTTTTTTGCTGCTCATTAATACTAAGGATGTCTATTAGTCATTTAAGTTGTTGACCTCTGGAAAGGCTCCTGCTTCGTGGAACCCAGGAATCACAGCAGCAAGGTTGAAGTTGGGCTGTTTCCTCAGACAGGTGCAAAGGAAAAGTCTGCAGAAAAGGGAATAAAAAAAGATGAAGTATGATAAAAGGCATTCTTAACTGAACACTACATGATTTTGGACCGCAGACACTACATTCCTGCTAAAAAATGTGTTTTCCCACAAACAGAAAAATCTAAACTCTCAGATTTGCAGCTGAAATGCTTGGAGTTCAAGCATATTTCATGCAAAATTTCACAAATGGTCTGATACGAATATCCTTAAATACCAATTTGCAGGAAAAAAGACATACCAAAAACCCTGATGTCGTTCAAATTGAATCCACAATGTTCTATTGAGTTCCATGACGACCAAAAGAAAAGCATTCTCAATCTTTTGCTCCACAATACAACATGCAAACTACAGAAAATAAACTCATTGACACTTACAGCATCTGACAGTGCCTCCAACTGTAAGGCTTGTAATTTCTGATTTACTTCTCGATACCTTGTATTAAACCAACCACTGAAATTCGGTGATCGAAAAAAACGCCGATATAAACCAACCCAATCTCCTTTAATGCCTGAAGTGAGCTGAGGTCCTGATGTTCCTAATGTTGCTAGGAAATCATCGGGATTAAATGGACGTGGAGTTGGTGCAGCCTGAATGAAATACAAATGAACAATTTGATGATGGAAGAAACAACAAATTTTCACATGAATAACTACCTCTGCATTTCAAATAGAAATGGGCTCTTATCCTTTATCATAACCCACATGGAAGAATCATCTGACTACAAGGAAATGAAATGGTGTCTTCTAAGATAATTCTTTTCAGGCCCAGTTGATGTTTTTCTATTCATAAACAAACTGACAATGAGACTAGGGCTTACGTTATTAACATAAAACAATCTGAAGTCTGTGGGATGGAGTCAGTATGGAAATACTTCATTTTTTCATCACACAGCACTCCAGTTTAGTTTTTCAGTGTTGCAGCATTCAGAGTAGATTCATTTGGGAGAGTAAGGGATAAAAGATAAGATCCCAGAATTACAGTAGAAATTTAATCTCAATAATTAATACTTACTTTATATGGAGATATATTTTTCTGAAGTGGCATGAGGCTTGCCATATATCTTTCTAGAGGAATCATGAAACTTTGAGTAACTTCTAAAAGATGCCTCCTCAACAAGGCTGTTTGTACTTCCCCAGGTCTTTTAGTTTGTATACCTTTTAACAATTTTTTCAAAATGGTTTTATCCTTATGAAGAAATGGACGATAGTGTGTGTAAACACCAGGTTTAGAATCTAACATTTTCAAATTTCCTCCTTTCTTCAACTTATGTTTTTGAGTACCTTAAAGCAAAGAAGACAATGTGTGTACCTAAAAACAATCAGAATAACATGCAACAAAAATAATGATTTAAAACATTTGGTTTTACCAGTACTTGGCACATCACAAATCCGAATAATGTGAGGCCAATGTTGTAAAGTCTTCGCAAAAAATGGGTTAGTCACGCCAAGAATGACTGGAGGAGGAGCATGGGCTTTAGTTGTATATTCTTTAAATTCACTGTCATGGATTGTGAAGTATGGTCGATAATCAGCACAGTACATTAGCGGTGCAATCATACTAAAAAGAAAACAAAATATGAAGCACATTTACATCAATTCTGAAACAAAATTTTAGTGTTACTCACCTTACTAATGCTTGAACCATTTCAGAGCACATAGTTGGGGAAGAAGCCATTACAACAATGGGTTCAGCAGTTAGCACCAATTCCCACAGAAGATGAATATGCGATATTACAGGAGCAAAACATCTAAACATATGAACTTCATGGACCGATGGGAGAATGGT